TGAATACCCCTCAGTCCTGCCTGAAGCTGCCCTTGGGTGAGATCTCCTGATTCTGCCCCTCTTACAGGGGGGTTCAAGCACAACATGAGCCATTCACCTCTCTTGCTTTATCACACTGTGGGGCCAACTGAATTTGCATCCCATCTGGTCTATGTTTCTGTGGGCACTGGGATAGCTTCTAGCTCAAGGTTTGTGCTCAGCCCCAGCAGGCATGGGGCCTGAGTGAGCAGCTCCTCGGCACGCCCTGGGTAGAGACTGTGCTGCTTGTGCCAGGGGCAAGAAACCCTCTCTTTGAATAAGGAAAATAAGGATGGAGACTAAAGCATTCCAGTGCCTTCCCACATTTATCTAGAAACAACTCTTAACTTGGTGAGAACCACCTTGCTCTGGTATTAGGGGTGTGTCTACAGGATACAAGCAGGCTGTTGTGGATACCCCTGCTCCACTGTGAAGCAAGGTGCTCTAACCAAGACAGAGCATCATTTCAGTGAAGAAAATCAAGGTAATTTATGCACTTCGGACAGCTGAACCAGATTAAAGTGCTGTCACACAGGCCTGCAGAGCCAAGGTGACTAATAGTCTTCATGAGGATGCAGGAAGTCAGTTAGCTGTTAGAGCTCTCTCACCTCTGCAGCAGCTGAGCTTCATCAGACTGTGGGTTTTATCAGCTCATTGATGCGGTTACCTGGGTGTGCCTCTGCTACCACATTTCCTAAGGCACAAGCTTTATGGAGAAGGAGATGGGAGAGGGAGGAGTCAGGGAGAAGCCTTCAGTTTAGCTCCAATTGCATCCACAGTGGTGTGAGTTCTAGTAGAGGAGATTTTGCTGATACCAGCCAAGGAGCAACCTTCATGAGGACTCCTACTGATACAACGGTAGGACTTCCCATCCACATCACGAGGTATTATAACAAATACCCTTACTGTATGGACACATAGCCTTGCAGCCTCTTAGCTCAGGCACCCTTAGGCACAGAAGGGCTTGTAACACCCTACCTGCTGCAGTGGGGTTACGTGTGAGGCACTTGGAGCCTGTATGCTTTGTCAGGGGGATTTGACATGCAGCATCTCCCTTGCAACCTATGTGAGGTCTGACTCCTCGTAGCCTCTCACATGGGTATGGCTTCATTACCTGGAGCAATTTACAGCTATATCAGTGTCCGACAGGAAGATCTCTTCTGTGATCACTCCTGTAGGCAAAGGAGCAGCAGAGTTTTCACCTCTAGAGACCCCTTGTCTTCACAGCAGATCACTTGAGAGCAGTGAATGTTTTCAAAATGAAGAACAGGAAGTTGGATGAAAGCAACTCAACTTTTCAAATATTTTTCAACAATAGAAGATACAGGTTTCATTTAGGTCTTATTTTACTTTTTAATCTTAAATTGAAAACCAAGGTTTGGTGTTCTGTGGTCTTTTTTCTTCTGCAGCACTTCATCTCATTTTTCCCCTTTCATCACTGAAAAACTATAATTAAAGGGAAGGGAATGATAGAAGCAAGAAACCCAATAAAAACAAATGTCCTCAGTTTTTGAAAAGGAACATTTATTTTGATTTTAGTTCATTGGTTTGATTTAATCAAAAAGTTGAACAATTTTCAAATTTTGAAATAAGACTTTTGTTTCCTTTAGTTCATTTCCAGAGGACAATTTTCTGTTTGCATTCTCATCATCAATTAAAATACCTTAATCAGAAGGAGCTCAATTTAGACCAGGACCTGGAAAAATCTTTTTCCTTCACTTCTTTGCAGTTTGTTAGTGAAGGAAATGGTGGTCTGAGCCGTGCATTAGCAACCAGCTTGCTTTACCCCATCGCCCATGAGCAGGGCTGGCATTTGGGTCTTTGTCACATGAGGCAAGTAAGAGTAGTTCAGGAGTACGATGCCAGTTAAGGCTGCTGACAGGACAACGTAGAAATAAGCCGTGTGGCAAACCTCTGCTCCCCAGCCCTGGCAAGTGTTCAGGATCTCTCACCAGGAAACTCGGTGTAGGGCAGCAGCTCCCGTGCGTGGTCAGTAAAGTCACAATGAGTGTCCGCAGAACCACTGCGAACCTTTAAGTAGCTTTTAAGGGTCCATGGGGGGCATCTGGGTGGCTGGCAGCAATTGGATGATATTAGCATTTGGAGTGGCTGGTTGAAAGGGATGTTTGCTAGCCTAGTAAACCACCATGCTGTGGATAGTTTCTGCCGACTTTAATTTTCAGGGTCAGGCCTCACCTTAGCAGTTGATTATTGGTTCCTGACAGCCTAGAAATAACTTTCCTAATAACCTAGTGGGAGAAAAAAAAAAAGGCTTTTAAACTAAACTTCAACCAGTTTTAAAGGACTTATGAAATTCAAATATTTGTTTATATTCAAACAAATAGCATGTTGAAACAGATAAGGAATACTAACTTGCTTTCATGAGGTTGATTTTTTCAATGCTTTGAAGCTATTTTTTTAAAAAATTGCGTTGGAGGAAATGCGTTACAGTTAGTTACACTGCATTTGATTTTATTTCAGCTTGCTTTTGGAAATACTGCGTTGAGCGCAAATAGTGTTTAACCTTTAAGTAGATGGGTCATGCTGAAGACTAAGATACTGAAGCTGAGAAAGAAACCTTCAAACCTTGAAGAGTTTTCTACACAAGTGATTGAAAAACAATTATTAAAGCAACTCTGACCATATTTGCCTTATGTATAATAGGTGTTTAAGAGGGACATGTAAAAAATTGTATTTAAAATGATAATAAAACCATTTTTTTGTACAAGCAACACCACATAGAAGACTACTTATGCTAATAAGCATTTGGAAATCAGTAGATCTAATTCCATAAACATGCCTTTAAATAATGGAATATGATCTCTGCCCTGGCATGGGATCAAGCACTACTAATCTGTGTCTAGATATTAGATCTTGTTGCATGTCAAGGCCACTTAGACAGCTGATGATACTGTTAACACCACAACTTGCTTTCCCTCTCCCTTTTTTCCCATTAATTTGTTCTCTGATAAATTGTTTTAAAAAAATCTTTCAATGGTCTTTTAAAAACAGAATAACTCAAATGTTGACAAGGATATTTTCTTAAAATGACGTGTTTTAAGAAGGGCCAGACTCAGACACTCAAAATGCGTAGAAGGTAAAGATCCATTTGCTGTGGGATTGTATGGACACTTTAGCTCACCCCATCCCAGGATAAATGAAGTGACTGCAGTTTTCTGATATGCTAGGTCATTTCTATGACTTCTCTACCCACATCTCCTCCCTGTGTTGCCAGAAATATGCAAACACCAACCATAACGTATTGTTTTAGGTAGCACCATGTGCGCCCAACAATTCCTTGTGGAGGGCTGGAGCTATCACCTTCTTTTGCATGAGTAAGAGCAGTAAGGAAACCACAAAACATTAGGTTTCAAAACTATCGGTGGCCACAAACATTTAATCAAATATCCTTCCAAGCCACATCAGATTTTTAAGGGAAAAAAACACCTCTGCTGAGTGTCTCGGGCTTTCTTTCCCTTCACCTGACAGTACTGGAAGTGCAGGCATGTGATTCTGATGAAGCCTTAGAAAAGAGCGGACAGGGTGAGGGGGGTTAAATGAATGATCTGGGGGCAAAAAGAAGTTCCGTGGTGCCTATAAACCATAAACACGGGCATAACACAAAGCAGCATGGTGTCTCAGGCAGCTGTGGCTCTTGCCCTTTTCAGTCAGCAAGGCTGAGCAGCCGTGGGCTGCGGCTGAGCCCTGGCACACCAGCTGCTGAGCCGCAGGCGACCCAGGACGCAGACACGGGTGCTGTGTTTGGGTTTGGAAAGCAGGCAGGGCCAGGCCAGGGGGTGGTTGTTACCATGGGTCCAGGGAAAGGAAGCCAGTGTGGGACCTGATGGATTAAAGGGGTGGTGTTTATTCTAAATGGCACGTATTTTACTCCTTTTCAGTGTCCCATGAGTCATCTGCACCCAGACACCCACCCAGACAGTCGGTGCGTGAGGTGACAGGCCAGTGCCACCAGCTGCCAGGTCCTGGCACAGCTCTTGGGTTCTTCACTAGTGACAACAAACTGTTTTCTGGATGCACCTTTTATACCCTCTAGGGATCTCTCAGGGTCTTTAAATTGAAGCCAAAATTCCTGCTTCCCATTGTTCTGTTGTTTTCTTTATCAGGATGTTTTATGGCACCCCTCCTGTTCCTCCTCATCTCTTTACGTTAGCTTGAGGCTTCAGTTTTCTCTTTGCCTTCTTGCTCTCAGGTCCTTTGAATTAATTTACTTCTACAGTGCTCTGTAGCAATTAACCTATTCATTATTTTAACTCTTGTTTTTCTATTATTTCTAGTGCTTTCACACACACATTTTTGTTCATCTTCACCACCCTTAAGACTTCTGTTACAAATACTCTGCCCTGTGCCAAAGTGCATCGCTCTCACCAATGTCGAGGCATGATTTGGAGATACATACTGTTCCCCACAACCAGTATGGCCATCCTGTTTTCAGGAGGTAGAAAGGAGCCGTGCAGATGTGAACCACACATTGCTACATGCTTTCAGGGCCAAATAGCCCAGGCTCTCTGTTATTTATTGATGATGAACAGCCATAACTGTATTTATGGTGAGAAGTAAGAGAGGGCCGGCATCCATCTCATGCATTTGGATTGCTGCAAGAGCTGCTGAGCAGTGTGGGCAGTCCCTGGCTGTTTTGGATCATCCCAAGTGGATCTCCCCAAGAACAAACAGTTAGAAATGTGGCCAGCCCGAAACCAGCATGAATGTGGGACGGTTCATGCTAGGTGGCCCTGTGGTCAGGGATTAGATGCTGGCCTTTTGGTTTTTTATTCATCGGTAATGGGCACAGCCAGTATGTATTGTTCTCAAGATCTCACTGCAGGCCTGTGACATATACAATTCCTCCAAAACAAATTAAAGTTTTGTTAAATTTTGCTTTGTATTCCTTAAAATCTAGGCCACTGTTGCAATGCATCTTACCAAGAAATTACCGAAGAAATAAAGACAGAACACTGTTCAAATTACTTATGAATTTGTATATTTTCTATTCAAATTTGTAAGGCATATGAAAAGAGTATACAGATTTCATTTTTTATATATTTTATATAGATATGTATGTATTTGAAAACACAAAGTAACAGTTAGTAATACGTGATGAGTGACTGCTCAGACATCAACCCCAAAATGAGAGTTCACAGTTGAGGGTGGGAGGGGAAAGGTATTGTGTCTGTTTTCTCTAAAGGCAAACTAAAACTGCACATTTAACATCGCTTACAAATAATTGTGATGACAGCACATTTGCATCAGAACTGTGTAGCGTGCAAGACGAAGACGCCGCAGACACAATATATCTGACACTGACTAGTGCCGTTAAGTAATGCTTTGTTAGAAAGCAAGCATACGTTTGGCATGGGCAAGGATGAGTGGCAAGTCTGTAAGAGTCTTTTTGTGGTTATAGGCGCTGTCAAGGCAATTTATAGCCATTTCCACATCTATTTGTACACACAGGCAAAAAATCCATCAGAAGGAAACTTCCAGGTGGCCCTATGACTAAAGCATTGCATCCTCTACTCCTAGGTGCTTGCTGAGGGCCTGCTGAGCAGAAAGCAGCTATGAACGTCTCTTTTTGCAGTCCATACATCTCTAGTAGTACGCTCCTTGATGCCAGGCTAGAGGGTGTTTCTCACTAGTACTGACTGCCTTGAACACAGACCCATGTGAGGCTGGAGGGGTTCATCCAATCCATCCCCCCTCCTAGGGCAGGAGGTACGTCTACGATGTTCCCGATAGATACCTGTCTGACCAGCTGCAGAGCTCTCAGCAGGGAAGTCCTAACAGCTGCCCTGGGAAAGCCAATATGCTGAAGCTCAACCAGGAAAAGGAAGTATAGAAGGACTGTTTCTTTCTTAGGTCCTCTCCTCCTCTTTGCTTTCCAAAACCAAGTAAGAGTCATGGAAGGATGACCAAGAAATCCTACATCAGTAGCTGGAGATGGATGTTCACCCATTTCTTCTGTCTACGGTGACAACCAAGTCTCTCCCTTCTCCCTTGTCAAATATCTCTTATCAGACAGTCCATAGGCCAGTGACAGTCCGTGTTCCTCTCTTTGGGGAAGTTCAGGAGGGAAGTTTGATGGGTTATGCAGCGCTGAGAGAGAAGGCAGGAGATTTTATTTATTTATTTATTCTTAATACCAAAGAAGACTCACGTGGTGTGAAAAGGACTTGTTCTTCGCCGACCTGGCCGGCCGGTCTCTCACGCAGAGGAGAGGGCTTCTGGATATCAGGTGTGGTCCCACCTACGAGCTGGCCACTCTCCGGGGCAAGCCAGGGTGCTGCGTGGGCACCAGCTCCTGGCTTGTGGCCCTCCAAGGCTTGCAGAGAAGCAAACAGAAACCCTCCCGTTAACTGTGAAGTTTGGCAACAACTGTGAAACACAGATCAGAGGCAGCAATAATGACAGGTTAAAGGTGTGTTAGAAACAGGGCTATTTCTTCTCAGTATTCAGAAATTTAGCATGTCACTAGTCTGTAATATTGCTGTAATTGTGTGAACTACACTGTTCCCCTAACTTCAGAAAATGCTTTAATATTGATTGATGCCTTTAACTTGGAATGCACAACAGACATTCACGTGTGCAGACATCTGTACAGACACACAAACATACACATACATAATTTAAGAATGAGCAAATAATGCCATACAATCATTATAAAAGAAGGATTGGCCAATAACAGAACTTAAAATTACACTGCAGAATGTATGTTGGCTTTTGTTCTTTCCATCTTGGCTGGCACTCATCTAAATCTCAAAAGCAATAAAGAACGGAGGCATCTTCTGTTTACTTCATTCTTTTTGCAACATCCAAATACGCATACTCAATTTCTTGATCAGCAGGACAAGTGTTTGTAAATTCATCTCTTGCATATGCATTGTTCAAGTATCTTGAAATCCCTGTCATTTCAGGTGGAAATTCAAAATTTCTGTATTTTTTTGCAACAACCTTTTATTAAAAGAAAAAAGAAGAATACCATTACACACATGATCTGAAAAAAACCCCTACCTAATCTACTCTTTATGCACATTTTAAATTTTCAGAGTGTAAGTCTGTCGTTACATGCAACATAGGGGGAAAGGAGAAAGAAGACAAAAGAAAAGGGAGAAAACTTGGGATGAAGAAAGCTAACTAACAAGCTAACTCACTTTAAAGGATTTATTTGGTATAAATATTCTGCTAGAGCAATGCAGAGCTACATGGACCAGTAGACCACACCTGGAAGAGGTACAGCTTAAAACAGCAAAGGGGTTAACATAAACCAGAATTAACAGAATAATCTTACAGTGACAAACTGGCCCACACTTGGATACTTTCACTGAAACATAAAGGAAAAACTTGAATTAAAATACTAAATTTCAAATGGCTAGGGAAAAAACCTATTGGACGATACCCTGTTGGTCAGCAAGGATGGTGTGATGTTCATCCTCCATCACCCTTCAGCCTTTCACCTGACAAAAGGTGCTTCTCCCTGTACGGGCTCTGCTGACCCCTGCTACCTCTGGAGCGCCGCTGTGCCTGAGCTTTGCATGGGCGTGGGGAAGGGCCCGTTCCCTTGCTGCTCTCTGGAACAGGTTCAACCAGGAGATCTCTGGGGAAAGTTTTCCCTTGCGGACGTGTCAGAAAGCAATTCAATCCACTCTGACAAAACAGTAGTCAAAAAGGAAACTTTCGGAAGTGACCTTGTTTCTTTGAAGACCAATGAACTTCCAGTGTGGCCATTTCTCTTCCAGAGCCTGGTTGGCTTCAGAGCAGTCCAGGGACAGGCTGTGGCAACACTCAGACACCTCGGTCACCAGGACTGTTAGGTGTGTGTGGATGCTCCACAGCCCTGCAAGAAGAGGCTGGGAGCCTTGGCTGGAAGGCAGTGGGCAGTGGCTACCCAGCCAGCATTATTGGTACTGGCAGTGCTATTCAGCAAAGGAGGAGTTTTGGATTAAAGGTGGGAGAGATAGGTTGAAATTTCAGCTTCTGCTGGCTTCTTGAATTGTCACGGACAAAATAATTTAACCTTACCAGTCCACAGTGATATGCACTTTGCATAAGAAATGCAAATGAAAACACTTCTCTACGGCACTGAATATAGCACTCGTTTCATACTTGTGGGAGGCTTAGCAAATGCAGTCACAGCTCAGATATGAAACCAGATATTCTAGCTCCAGAGTCATCAATCTGAGGATCTGCCTAGCTGTGCTGTAATGAAATGGCCTTGTGCATTAGCATTCAGTGTTCCTACACAGCTACTGTGTGGCCTCAGAACAGATAAAGGATTCCCTCTGGCTTTTAGGAAAGGACTTTTAGCTTCTGTGCTGCCCTTCACTTCAGGAAGCTAACAAGCAAATGCAAACCTTGATTATATGGAGCTTTGGTAGGAGGTTGCAATCTGCAAGGGTGAGCTCATCTCCATCCAGGAATTTCCGGCTGGAAACAGTGACCTCCTCAGTGCTGTAAGCATCAATTTCATCAGGCAAGGGGCTATTTAAATAGTTGTCCAGCTTCCTCAGGGCTTTAAGCAAAGATTTTTCCAAATCTAGGTTAAGACAATAAAAAGGTCATTCAAGCTTGTACCAAGGTCTCTCTGACACCAAGCAGAAAGGAGAGTCCTGTATCCTGTCTCCTGGCACCAACCCAGCTCACAGACACCCGGCCAGGCCAACTCCTGCAATTCCTTTATCCTAAGCTTAAAACTTAATGCTGGGATAAGAGCTCTAAGTAGCTAACGGGGGTTCTGAGGAAAACCAGACTGTGGCTGTGTTCCTAGAAACGGCTCCTCAAACACCTCTGCAGAGTGTGCTTTTGCAGAGAGGCCTGGCAGAGTGGCTCTACCTTCACACTGATTCTCGCCTCGGGAGCCACGGGGCAAGTGCCTGCCCACAGATAACAGCAAGGCACCGGGATGCCACTTTGGGGTGTACGGGAAACCAGACCCCGAGTCCTGCGCTTTCGGCTGAGCGCAGAGGAGTGGGGTGGGGGCAGCAGGGGCTGGCAAGAGTTGTCCGGGGTTTTCGTGGGCTGGTGGTGCCCGTGGGCCACTGTGGAGAGGGGAGGAGGGAAGAGCAAAGGGAACAGGGCTGAGAGCTGAAGGGCAGAGATGAGTTAATGCACAGAGATGGCGAGGGTCCTGCTCTAGAGAGACGTGCCGTGGAGCTAGAGTCCTCATTATTTAAAGAAATGGAGTAGAAAGGTAAGGTCTCAGTTCAAGCGGGCTGTGCTTTTGGCAGAGCTGTGGGGAAGGTGCAGTGTTATCGGCTTGAGAGCTGAAGAAACCAGGAGGAGCTGGAGTTGGTGCTCCCATGTTGAATGTGGTATCTGCAGAAACTAACTTTGGGAATCCTTAAATAAGAGAGTGAGTAGGCACAGATTTCCACAGCCTTTATGCTCTGGAAAATGACTGTTTAACCTAAGCTGTAAATGGGCTATCTCCAGCCCAGTGTGCTAGAATTGCACAGCTCTAGTTTCTTCCAGTAACTACCAGGGCTGATGGAAGGACTGTAGCACATACTTTCATTAGTATCTTTTCTTGGGTTCTTTATGAATGCAGAGAATTTTGCAAACACATCATTTCCTGCAGAGTTAGACTCAGGGTGGTTTGGTGCAAGTCTGGGATACCTGAGGAGTTAAAAGAAGCAAACAGAAGTTATACGACTAGTCTTTATTTTCACCTCCACTAATTACTTAACATACATTATTTACACTGCAACGTCACAATATACGGCCACACAAGACTCTCAGAGGGAAGCATCCTGAACCAAAAATCATTTAGCAAGTGCAAATTTAAACTGTAGTTAAACCACGTGGATGACCCCCTTTTCCTGAGTGAGCTGGAAATGACCGTTTGCACTGTAAATACTGCCCAAATAGCCCAGTGCCTCTCCCAGGACTCCTCCACTGGAGGTGAGGCTCCTGACTTGAGGAGGAATGGAGGGAAAGTCCCTTTTTGCAGTAGCCCCTGCTCCTCCCGGCCTCCTCGCCTGGCCTGCTGCGGCGTAAGCAGGCTTGGAGCAGCCGGTCCAGCCGCTGTTGTTGCCAGGGGTGGAGAGGAAGAGAGAAGTGGAGGGGAGCAGCAGCTTGCCCTGGTTTAAGTCAGGTTGGGCTGCTTGAGAAGGGAGCGCCGCAGAGGGGGCGGCTCTCCCAGGGGAGAGAAGGTGCGTGGATGGGGGACACGACGCTGCTTGCTCATGGTGGGACAGTGGGGTTTGGGGCGAAGTGGGAAGAGTTGCTGAGGCGGGGGACAACAAGTCCGAAACTCAGACCCTGATGGGCACCAAGATGGGCCCACCCGGCCACTTAAAATGAGCCCCAGCACGTCTGCCATGTGGGAGGGTTTCACTGCCCTTTCCTTCCAACTACCTGCTGCCTGTAAGCGTAATTAATTGCATAGTGTGAAGAGGGAAACCTCAGGCAAACACAGGTGGAGAAAAAGAGGTCAGGTTTCTGCGGCAGCATGCAAGTCTCAGCACGTGCGTGCTGCAGCGGGCTGGGTGCTGTGCCTTGGGAATGACGGCGGTGGCACAGCGGTGAACTCGTGGCAAAGGCGAGGGCAGCTGGCGTCTCGGGGGTACCCCCAGGACCCTCCCTGCGTGGTGCCAGGCGTCAGCACTGTCTCATGCCAGCTGAAATTACCCCTCCCCACAAGCCAGACCAGCCGCCCCCCCCAGCCTCCGACACGCAGTTATCCCACGTACGGCTCATCGAAGGCCTGACCCACCGAAACCGAGGGGGTTTGGTCACTGACCCCTGTTGAGGAACACGAGGGGCTAAAATCAAGAGAAGCAGCCAGGGATACGGTACCGGGGCGGCGCTAGTTTTTCCTCTAAGAACTCCTCAATCTTATTGACATCGGTTTTCACTTCACCGTCAAACGTCATGAAGGGGGGGTTTGTTCCCGGGGCAAGGTTCTGCAGGTCAGCAGGCTTTCTGAAAGGAGGAGAGAGATAGGGTTAATCACAAGAGGAACCACATTTGCTATTCCTACACTTAATTGCAAAGAACTGCTTCCCCTTTAAAATAGCAGGCTGCTCTATGTCTTTCTTACAAAACAAAACTTGGCCAGCTGACTGGTGGTGTGAGTATTTGCTAGCCTGTATCTGAATGTGCTCTGAAAGGCTTAAAAAAAAACCCAAAACTTCTGTGTTATGTTACAGAGACCTACTCCAAAACAGATTAAAATCTCAACTGCTTCAAAGGAGTTAGTCCACTTTATACTAATGAGCCCTAAAGAGGAATCATGCATCCATACTGTTGACGTAATGCCAAGCCACGGTATGCATTTCAAATCTATCAGAAGAGAGTCACCCTTTAAAATCACCATTTTGGAAAACTTGTTATGAAAAGGAGAACTCTGGTTACAATCTCACCTTTTCAAATCCACAGTTGTGACATTAAATATGACACCTTTTAGCCACAGAATCATAAAGAGACGCTGAGAGAACGGGCAATTTCCAATACTTTCCCCATCACTGCCAGCCTACAATTAAAAAAAAAAAGAAAAGGTGTACATACATCTGTGATGATAGCAAATTTTAATAGCAGATGCAGTAGGAAAGGAGAAAACCCAGATCTGCTATGAGTACATATAGCACGTTACTCATCTCTACTAATGCGTGTTTTTCATGCAAAATGTCTTTATATCCTTCTCCAAACTTGCACATAGATGTGATGAAGAAACCTGTCATCCTGGAGATGTAGTTTTTCATTAAAATGCATAATGAATATTGCCATAAGTTTGAAAACAAAATTGAAATCACAACAGTCCTCCCAAAGGAAATAATCTCCACCTCACTTGTCCATGTGAACATAAATCTACTTAAGTCACTGCAAAATTAAAACAAGTTAAATCAGTTTCTGATCACAGGAAACAAAGAGAAAGATTTACCAGCATAAACTGAGATGTAATGTCTAAAGCACTTAAGGGAATGAACATTATAAATCAAATAATTAAGAATTTCAAGCTAGGCAACTGTGGGGGCCCCAGAGGAGGGAAGTTCAGTGGTAGCCTTGCTCTAGTTGGACCCACCTGTCTCTGCATTTTGCAGAACTGAGGACTAATGAAGCATAGGTGCCATGTCCCCCTGGCTAATCCCTCCTCTTTACAAACCCAAGGCTCCCACTTTTAAGACTGAGGCGTGTCAGTGTCCAAGTCATGTAACCTCTCTTTCTGTGTGCCTCTGTAATGATGGTCTTTTCTTTTTGGCTAAACGAATCATCAGATGTCAGTGTAAAGCACAAGAAGTGCAACTCACGTGTGACCACAGAAGTGCTGCTCGCACGTACTCTGTATTGCATTTTGCTACGAGGCTTTGTAAAAATGAGGCAAAGTCTTGCATAGTTGTTATTGGTTAAGTTAGGCTTCCTGCAACGTTGTTGGCAGAGATCAGACGTCTAATTTTTAAGATCTTCATATGATTCCCCTAAAGTGCAGTTTTAAAACTTAGTTTATATGTAAGGGCACAGAAGTGAAAAAAAAAAAAAACAGGTGTATCATTTACTTAGTTAATAGGTTAATAGGTTAGTTCATTAAGGTTTGCAGACCTTATAACCAAACAACACACATTAATGAAACCAGTTCTGCTTGCTCTTTCACCTTCCTCAGCGCTATCAAATGAATCTCAAATATAGTGAAAAATTCTCCATAAACAAACATTGCTGTTGGAATGCTTTACAATGCTCACCTTCACAAAGAGCTCTATGTCTGGGAATGAGCACTTGGTCTGGACCAGGCAGGTTTCTGTCTTGGAGCTCGAGGGACGCATGAGGAGAGACACTCCTGTAGCTTGAGAAACCATCTTATTCTCCCTATCAACCCAAAGGATTGTCCTCTGATAACTCTCTGCTGCTTTCTGCCTCTGGTACTGTGACAAGCACTGGCTTTCTTGGAAGGGAAAACCAGAACAGCCTATTGCCTTAAACACTGCTGGAGGATGAAAACTTTTAGAAATCCTAAAACAGCTGGACTGTTGTGTCAGAAAAGTCTTGTTTTGTAGGTGGCAAAAATGAAAGCTGGTCAAAAGCTACTATTGTATTTTTCCTCCTACTCAGAGCACTGCTTTCCAGCGCTGTACAGTTGACAGCAACAAGAAGATAGAAAACTACTGTGTATTTTGTAAAAATGAGACTACAAATGCTGGTAGCATGTGCTTAAAATAGAGCTAAGTACATGACACCACCATTTTGTCTCATCCTGCCTCTCACGTCAACCTTTACCCACCCCCAAGGAAAAACAGGGGTGAAGGGTATTACAGTGCCCCTCTCGCTGCTCGCAGTGGGCACCCCCACCCGCTGCCAGGCTGCACTGAGGGAAGAAGCAGCAGCCAGAGGACATCATTTCAGATGTGCCATGTCTGCAGGAGGCAGGAAGGTGTGAGTGGGCTCCCACCAGCCAACTTTTTAACCTCCATACCTACTTGGGAGAAAAATTTACTACAGCACTACAGTTTTTCTATTTTTCAGTGGATAAAATAGCAAACAGCAAATCTTTCAGCCTTTTACCTTCACATGCTTCAGTCTGCTAGCAACCTCTCACAAAAAATTAAAAAAAAAATAATAATTGGAACACTGAGGAATTGAATAAAATGGGGGATTAAGCATTGCTGATTACAGCAATGCTCTGCCGACTGTAATGACTGAGATGATTAATTGTTTATTTGGTACTTTTTGACTACTTCTATGGGATAGTTCTGATGGTGTTAAACATATCAGTGAAGTCCAGAAGGCATCTGACCTTCATGTACTGTGCTGTCTCCCCTCCCGTGCTGCCTACGAGGGGCGTTAGCAGTGTACTGCTATCTCAGCTGTGTTCTGTGCAATGCAGGCACCCTGTCTCTAGTGTAAAGTGCTGCACTATTGGCCCAGCTTCTCTGTCTCCAGTGGTTATGGTAAGCGCTTGACTTTTACAGCAGAAAATAAATTCACAGAGACTAGGATGTTGCCTCATTTCTGATGTGGCCATGATCCTTCTCACAGGCTAAGGAGGAAACTTTCTGAGCAGTTTCCTTGGGAAATCATTGGTGCACTTTATTCATATAAATCTTTTCTAAAAGCCCATGCTATCCAGGCTTTGTAGTACATCCCGATGTCTAAGACGGGGCCGTGTCCTCTAGGGTTGCTGTGCCTGGACTGAGAACAACAGGCAGATCTCCAGGAGTTACTCAGGCAAGAGCCTCTGCTGATGAGGTCCAACAGTAAAGGAGGCAGCAGCCATTCCAGTAGGGACAATTGGGAAGCTGGTGAACCACGCTGAGCTTTAGGAAGCTGAAAGCCATTTAGACCTCAGGGGCTTGAGCCCTGGGTGAAGGTGAAGGGAGGACAAATCTCTAAACTTGTCATGCCAGGATTGGTGGTGGATTACCTCCAGGTTTCCTTCAGTTCTGCGGAGCTGGAGGCAAATTACAGTAGCCCACACAGTAGCACGAGCAGTGATTAAACCTTTCCCTTCTGTAATAGTGACCAGAAGTCTGAAGTGACTGAAAGACCTTGAACACCAAACCTGATTCAGACCTTGACACAATTTGACCTGGCAGCTCAAAGACGCTACAGTTCCCTATAACCTTTGCTAAAAGCCCAGAACGTGTATATTTTGGCCTGCTGTGGAAAACAGGGTGAATACAGCTAGCTAAAATGCCTTCAAACACGTCACCTTGCATGTTGGCTCACAGGAGACAACTCTCTCCTCTTAGCTCAGCTCATCTAATCCAGGGAGCTACAGTTCCTACTGGACATAAAAGCTTCAGTGACACATGCCGAAGGTGTTTGTTCAAGTTTCCAAACAGAGGGTCTGCCATGATGACACCAACCACTCAAAAATCATGAGCTGGGACACTGAAATAGCTTTATAGCTGTGTATCAGGCAACACAACAGCTGAACTATGCCATCATCGTATGATAATGTACCTTCCAAAAAAGCAAGGGTGGCCTTCTTATACAGACGTGACACTGTGTGTTGACATCTTACCTTGCAGGGACACGATGCAGCAGTGAGAGAACCAGAAAAGACTCGCCTGTCCCATATTAATATCCACAGAACATAGTTCAGCTACAGGCACTGCAGCCTGGGACCAAAACGCCCTGTGTTTTTCTCCCACAGCACCAGTCAGGGATGTGTAACTTTATGCTGTGCTTGGTACACGCACAGAATTTAATTACGCTTCCTCACTGTTGTGTTTAGTGATGATGCAGGGTGAAATAGTAACTCTGGTGAAGTCAGCCGGAGTCTCTTGCTGTTGATTCAATGGAGGACTGTGTTTCCAGACTGGTTATAATCTTAATAACCAGGCAAATGCTGCTGTAATTGTAGGTAATGCTGCAAGCTGGCCTCCAGCTGCAACTGTTGTGACATTCTCTTAACATTCAGATCTTGTGGATGAAGTGGGCCAGATCCCTAAAACACAAAGCTGGTTTTTATGCTCTTCTGCTGCTTAAATAGATGGCTAACCAGTGTCTCGAATAAGTGGCATTTACATTTTAATTGTGATTGGTCAGGAGGTCAATATGCTTTTTCTAGTAATACTGAGATTTAATGAGTTCATTAATCAAACAATTAAGACAGTCATTGCTACAGAGGAGAAAAATGTCAGGCCGTGCATAGAAGTTTTAATTCAGAGCCTTCAGAGCCCTAGGCAGTGATTGTATATTGTGACAGTATTGATTTATGACAGCTCTTCGTTATTTAGTGGGATTATTAGCCTACACTCCCTGTTTTCATTAGTTTTCCACTGTTCCACGATCTCTTTGGTCTTTTGTACTGTTGTTCTGGGTCTTACTTAGAGATGCTGGGAAAGTAAAAAGCTCTCCACACCCCCCTTTCCACTACTGCTTAAGCTCATGGGTAGTAGCACCACCACACATTAGGCTAGTTTCACTAGGCAGCAAGACCTTACACACAACGTTTTAAAACGGGTCCCAAAAGAACTATTCAGTTTCTGGAGCTGCTGCTGCCACCTTGATTCAGCATCTCTGCTTTCCTCCACATCCTCATTCACAGCAAGAGGATAATTATAGTGACTTTACCCAGGAGTCACACACAATATATCAGTCTTAAGCCAGTAGTTTGGGCCCTCCCTGAGCTGGAGCTGTTTTAAGAATTTGTTTTGTAACTGTTTCTGTCCACAGATCTTGGGAACCAGGTTTTTGAAGGTTCTTCTATTGACCTCAGATGTTCTGTGCCTTCAAAATTGTGATGAGTGGAATTTGTTTTTCCTGGACTTTTTGTTTCCTTTTGAAGGTTAAGGACGGAAGAAACAGTTCAGAAGGAGCAGAGAAGACTTTTTTATTTGTTTTCATATAATTATATAATCCCTTTGAAGCTACAATAAAAAGGAGAACAAGAAGCATAACTTTTTTTTTTTCGCAAATGCTGAACTCCAATTCCATTTTCTTACTTCGACACAAGGGAGCTAAGTTACCTCCTTTCCCATATTTATGCTGGCTAAGAGGCAGGTTTATTCAGCAAGCGGAGCAGAACCACTGCCT